TACACTGAGAAAAGGACAGCCTCTTCAATAAATGGTGCTGGGACAACTGGATATCCATATGCAGATGAAACTAGACTCCCATTTCTCACCATATACCAAAATCATCTCAAAATGTATTAAAGACTTAAATATAAGTCCTGAAACTAAAACTACCAGAAGAAAACATAGAGGAAACACTGTCATTGGTCTAGGCAATGCTTTTATGGAGAATACTTCTAAAGCAGAGGCAACAAAAGCAAAAATAGACAGATGGAATTACATCAAACTAAAAAGCTTCTGCACAGCAAAGGAAATAACCAGTAAAGCAAAGAGACAATTTATGGAATGGGAAAAAATATTTGTAAACTACTCATCCAACAAGGGATTAAGATCCAGAATATATACGGGACTGAAACAACAGGGGGAAAAAAAAAGCCACATATAATCTGATTAAAAAATGGGCAAATGACCTGAATAGACATTTCTCAGAAGGCAATATACAAGGCTAGCAGGTATATGAAAAAAGCTCAATATCACTAATCATCAGTGAAATGCAAATCAAAACCACAATGACATATCATCTCCCCCCAGTTAGAATGGCTATTATCAAAAAGACAAAAAATACAAATACTGGCAAGGATGTACAGAAAAGGGAACTCTATACACTGCTGATGGAAATGTATTAGCATAGCCATTATAGAAAACAGTATGGAGGTTCCTCAAAAAACTAAAAATAGAACTACCATATGATTTAGCAATCCCAATGCTGGGTGTTAATGCAAAGAATGGAAATTAGCATACTGAAAAGATATCTGCATTCCATGTTTATTGCAGCACTATTCACAGTAGCCAAGATATGAAATCAACTCAGGTGTCCGTCATCAGATGAATGGACAAAGAAAATGTATATATACACAACGTAATACTACTCAGCCATAAAAAAGAATTAAATCCTGTTATATGCAACAACATGGATGGAACTGAAGACCACTGGGTTAAATGAAGTAAGCCAGGCACATAAGGATAAATACCGAATGTTCTCACTGATATATGGAAGTTAAAAAAGTTGAGCTCATAGAAGTAAAGAGTAGAATGTGGTTACTAGAGGCTGGGAGGGGGAGAGGGAAAAGAGAGGGGAGAAAGTGGGGAGAGGAGATGGAAGAAGGGGAGAGCGAAGGTGGGAGGGGGAAAGTGGGAGGAGAGGGAGAGGTTGGTTAATGGGCACAAAATTACAGCTAGATAGGAAAAATAAGTTTTAGTGGTGTACAGTAGTGCTACGTATCTATAATTAACAATAATTTATTGTACTCAAATGGTTAGAAGAGTAGATCAAATGTTCTCATCACAAAGAAGTGATAAAGTTTTGCAATGATGAATATGCTAATTTGATCATCACACACTGTATGTACTGAAATTAACTCTGTACCCCATAAATATGTACAATCAATACATGTCAATTAAAAAATAAATTCCTTTTAAAAAAATGACAAAGGTTTCTCATAATACCTGAGACAAATAAATTTGGCAGGCTTTCAAATCTAGGTAGACTAGAAAGAATTCTGAACTTCACAGGTTTACCTAGCTAGAATCTGTCTGTTTCTACATTAAGTTTAAATATTAAGGCAGAGGGAAAAACAAAAGGATTACCAGTGACCAGTATATGTTGGTGCTGTATGTGAACATTAGATCTAATCATAATATATACAATACTGCCTATTATATGGTTTTGGCCATTTTACTTGAAGTTTCAACTAAGGTTTGATAGATTTCTCCCAGCCATCATTATTGATTTTACTCTCTCACTGAATTGTTAGTACATCTCTATTGATTAGTAATGAAAGAGCAATTCAATCTATGCTATGCTACCATTGCACTCTCTAAACAGTCTTTTGGTGATCTTTTATTTTTGAAATATAAGAAAGACAAATTTTATATTTTTTTCTTCATAAAAACAATGAGACAATATTATAGTGTGACCTGAACAAATTACATTTATTCCAAGCAGTTTTTAAAGAATCATACCTATTGTTTTACCACTGTATATTGATATTTGAATAAGTATACAATGATTGTACTACAAACATTTATTGAATGAATAAATGACCATATATTTTGGAGAGCATTCCATATCATTACATTTCAAACTAAACTACCCCATTCTTTTTTTTGTTTGTTTTTGGTGGCTGGCCAGTAAAGGGATCTGAACCCTTGACATTGCTACCTCATTCTTTTAAACAGCTACAGAGTACTAATATATTCAACCAATTCTAGATAGATATTCAGGTTACCATGTTTCTCAATGGGTAAACATTTAAGTTTCCAGTGAATAAACCAATGTTAGCTAGCTCATGCAAAAAACAAAAAACAAACAAAAAAACGACCACTGACGTCTAAATAATTTATTTATTAAAAGAAAATATTCTCTGCATTCCAAACAGATTCATCTTATTTCATTCCATTTTCTCAATAATGTACATACGAGTAACTCATGCTACTTTATTATGTAGTTGTTTCTTTAGTCACTTCACTTAGATTTGCAATATTTTCTCACTTTTTCCTATTTTGCAAGACTCTTCTACAAGGCCTACCTGCAAATGCACATAAGATTATGTATATGGAAATACTTTGTAAAATATAAAACACCATTCAGTGTGAGATATGGTTAGAAAAAAAGTGCTGCATATCTAAAAAAAAAGAAAGGCTGTGAAAGACTGTCACAGAGTCTTACTAACGTTATTTAGTGACATCTGCAACTCATAGAGGAAGGAAGCATCCACTTATTTTATTACTAGACCATAAAAATCAATATAAATGGCATTCACAGCTGCCTTCCCTACAGCCTGAATAATAATAATAATAAAAATAATATGCTACCCACCTTTTTCTTTTTCTTTAAGATAAGCTGACACTAAATCATGGAGAAACATGATGAGCTCAGCATCCATAGTCACACAGATGTGGTCAGTGAACTCAGTCACCACACTACATTCTACCTTTGGCTTCAGGTTGGCATCTGCAAAGGTAAAGTTCTTTTATAGTAAAAGATGTAATGAAATGAATCCCCTTCCCATTAATAAGGATTTACATAGGTCTATGTAAATGTACCCACTTGAAATGTAACTATACAAATGAGTAATTTCTGTTTGTGATTTATAGAATGATGATAGTTTATTCAGCACTTTCCTTGTACATGTCATTTATTCCTCATAACAGCCCTGTAAATGAAGTTCAATTATTATTCTCCTTTTTACTGGGGAGAAAAAGGCACAAGTAGGTTAATTTGTCAGAGGTGATATAGCTGGTAAGAAAATTAATCAGTTAAACCTAAAAAAAATCAATTTCATTAGATTATATTAATATTTCAAAAATAACCCGTGGGAAGACAGCAGTACTTTGAAGTTCCTTTTTTATACCTTGCATTGAATTATTATTTCTTATACCTTGTATTTCATATACCTTGCAACAAAGGTTCCTGTGGTTCTTGAACATGAATGGATTTAAAGTCAAGCTGCATCCTTGGTAATGCAAAGATAGTCTCTGTTTCATGGTTGTAGCTAGAACCTCCTCTGAATCCACTCAACAAACTAGAATTCTTCACAGTAGTGCTATTCTCCGCGTTATTAGCGTCAACATTACGAAGTAGGTTTAGCTCTACATGCATAATGATAAAGACAATAAGAGTAAAATTAAATAAAGAGGCATTGATAAGCTATGTTTTCAAGACACTATGACACACAGAACTTTTGCCATTTTGAAAGTTGGAAAGAATCAAATTAAAAAATACACACACATACAAACACACAGAATACATCAAAAGTTCGTGAAAAAATAGAAAAGATAATATCTTTCCATGAACTTTTTGAAATACCCTCATATATTAAATAAATCACTGTTCTCAAGACCAAAGCTTTATAATGTGATTTTGGACTTAAAAAATACACACACATACAAACACACAGAATACATCAAAAGTTCGTGAAAAAATAGAAAGGATAATATCTTTCCATGAACTTTTTGAAATACCCTCATATATTAAATAAATCACTGTTCTCAAGACCAAAGCTTTATAATGTGATTTTGGATAAACCCAATAAATTCTGGTTTTAGTTTCTTAAACTTTAAAATGAATTCATGTCTAGACTTAAGAGTTCCATTAAGCCCAAAAGTCTCTATAGATTGAAGACTTTACTCTTACAGAATTTGAGATTAAATATGATCCTCACCTTGAAATCAGATAAAAGTTGTAATTTTCCCTAATATATATGGTATTATAGCTGTCTTATAAAAATGAGTATTTTTGTAGGTACATAGACAGCAATTCAAAATGCTAATAACTCCCCCAGAGAGTATTCCAGCTGAAAAGAACCCCCTTTCCCAAAATCCCTATTTGAAAAGTAGAATAGTAAAAACAGGCATAATCTAATTTACTTTCTTCTCTTCTCTTGTTCTCTGAACATTTTTAGTAGTCTTTATTTAATTCCTGGGGTCGCCTATTCCATGGTAACTATTCTATACAGGGCCCAAGTCATATTCTCTTTCATTTTGAAAGAAGGTCATTTTTAAGAAAAATGTTCAAGCCTGGACATATCTCAATCTACTCAGCTTTACAATACACATGAGATAATTGGCAAAAAGCAATTCTGTGAACTAAAACCCTCAAACAACCATAAAGTAAGAGTTACCATGACCACATTATCACAATACTGGTGTATCTAATTAAATGAAAAAAACTCATCAAAAGCACTCCCTTTAAACTTATGACATGATAGGAATAATATTAGTTTCATTTTGTTACAGCCATTCTGAACCTTAAGTTTGTGGCATTCCATTATTTAGTTGTGTAATAACTTCCCCAAATCTCCAATTTTTATCATTACTACAAAAATTTTTTCCAATATTATTTTCCAAAAATTTCTAAAGTATTTCCAAAAACATTTTATATCTAAAAAATTTGAGTCTATAACAAACCCTCATGTACCTTGTCACCCAACTTCAACAATTATCAGCTCATTAAAGGTCTATTTTAACTACTATGATATAGTATTTTTTCTCTCCCTTAATTATATTAGTTAATGAAAAGTTATCCCTTATTGCGAATAGAACATAGGGAGGCAGTATAACATAACGGTGTAAAGTATAGAAATAGAAAGCAGACAGATATGAATTCAAATTTTGGCTCTACCACAAAGCTGTATGTTCTTAGAGGACAAGTTACTTAATTTCTCTAGGGCTGCATCTGTCATCTTTATAATTTTCTCCTACAGCTAACTATTATTTTTCTCTATATTAAACTTTTCAGCTACCTTCATTCTTAGTATAATAAATATCTGAAAAAATTTATTTGAAGGTAACTGTAAAAAAAGTAATTTTTTCCCTCAGGCCTTTTGTATACCTCCTCTCCAAGATTAAAAAAGGTAAAACAAGACTATTATTAAAATTTTCAAATATAACAGAAACATATAACATAGCAAGAAAAAGTTCTATTTCAGATTCCTTCTTCAGTTTCACTGAGGTAACCAAGTGCCCAGTGAATGATGACAGACATAATTTCCATTATCCCCAATAGCTATTTATAGAATAGTTTATTTATGCTGGTTATGTACATTATAAATATAATTTTTAACTTTAAAATTAATCTAGAAATAAATTACTGTCATTTTTTACATTAAAAAATCAAAATAAAAAAATTTAAAAAATAAAATAACTTGAGTCTATGAGAAATGGTACCACCATAGTGGTGAATCATTTACTAAACAATCGTTACTTGTGTCAGCAGGAGTAAAATGATAGTTGTTTATAGAAATGAAAACTTTACCTCTCCACAAAAATTCTAAACACAGTCAACAGAACCCAAAATAGAAAAAAGAAAATAAATCTCTCCAAAACTCAAATTTTTAACCTTCATTCCTCGTGGCTGTAACATAATTGAACCATTCTTTCACACTTGCTACTCCATGTGGTGGATTTTCATGGCGGCGCCTTGTTATCTTGGTTATTGTTGCCATAGGACTTTCCAAAGCACCACATGGTTTGGTAACCATAGTATTATGACCCAGATGAAAATCTAATGTTTGTACAATATATGTAGAATGATCACTAGAACCTAGAGCAAAAGGAAAAAAAAAGTTTTTAAAGTAAAAATCTATATTTAGATGTAAGAAAATACTGTAGTTGTGGCCTCAGAGCAATAGATTTAGCTACGTCATACATAGATTGGGAAGGCTATAAAAATGAAAAATAAATGAGAAAAAAACAAATAATTCTTTTTTTAGTTATAATGGATTTATGCCCATTAAGATGAAGAACACCAACCATTTTTTTCTTCATCATTAAGAAACCAACAAGTAAGAAATTAAAGTTCAAAGGAACTCGGTTTATCACTGTAAATAGGTAAAAGCACAGTCTTGCCCATAAAATTTGTATTATAGTCTTGACTGGCATACAGTTTCCTCACACTACCACTATGTGTCGTCTCTTCATGTTCTTATAAGAAATATTTGCAGTAACTATTATTATGACTATGGTCAGCCACGGCAGCAGAAACTTTAATTGCCTAAGAAAGAAAAAGAGAATAAGATGGCAAGTTCAGAAATAGGTCCTTTAACATGTTCTAGACTTTGTAGATATTGACTAATTGGTAGTCAACTCTTATGTTAGGCATAGGATAACAAATAGAGATGGATTTCAGAAATATAATAAAAACAGACAAAAGATATGAGAAAGGAAAATTATTTTATCATTTATACTCATATCAGAAGATAGGAACAAGTAAAAGCTGGAAATGTGTCATTTACCATCTTCCCAAATTTTCTGAGCTTCGGTCCAAAAAGCAATATTTGGTTCTTCTAAATGAAAAAGAGCCCAGGATTTTGAACGGAAATTTGGACCATGAAAACAAGCCAGTGTCATATGATTTCCATGTAAGCTCATTGATCCTCCAAATTGCATTCCATCTTCTGGTAATGGAATCTGAAATAAGGATATGTGGCATCCTGATACCACCTTCAATACTCCAGGCCAATGTCGATGATGAGCTGCATCAAGCACTGCAAGAAAAGCAAAAACCATTTATCCTGAAGTGCCTCATGAGCATCCTGAATGGGGTAGGGTGGCAGCAGGTGGCTACTCTCTATAGCTGAAAGTGACTCAGATAAGGGATGAAAAAATGTCCAACACTTGGTTAACATTAAGTAATAGCCAATTAAGAGACACTCTGGAAAAAGATGCTGCATGAGGATGGATAAAGCTAAGGAAAGTAGTAACTTGCTAACAGTAATTACAGCTAACACTTCTGTAATGATTAATGATTCACAAAGTTTGCTTAAAACATTACATAATTCTCACAATAATTCTGTAAACTAGGTATTTTATCTTGACTCTTTTCAAGTGAAGAAGCAGAAGAACTGAGGAGTTAGGTGAACTAGTAACTGGAAGATCTAGAAATCAAATGCATATCCCCTGATTTTAAGTATCGCTTTTTACTCTTCTATACATTTGCTACTCAAAGTGAGGTCAGAGGACCAGCAGCATCAGCATTACCTGGAAGCTGCTAGAAATGCAGACTCTTAAGCATATCTGCATTAGAATCTGCATTTTAATAAGACCTCCAGGTGTTACAGATGCACATTAAAGTTTGAAAAGCACTAATCAAACACACAATTCGTTTGTATATTTCCCACTTATTCCAGTAATGTCCTTATGCCTGATTTCCACACCTCTCATTACAATTCTACAAGGATCATGCATTGTATTTAGCTGGTACATTTCTTTTAATCTAAAACAATTCCCTAAGCCTGTTTGTTTTTCAAGACAAGGACTTTTTTGAAGAATCCAGGCCAGGCATTTTGCAGAACATCCCTCAATTTGTATATCAATTCTAGCTTAAAGGAAATACGGAGACTAGAGAAACAGATAAATGACACCACAAGGAAGCAACTAAAAAACATCTAGAAGGTAGGGCACAGGTCTCTTCAACAAGTAAGGTCATACAAAAAAAGGAACATGCTAAATTAAACAAGAATAAAGGAACATAGCTAGATTTAACCTCTGATCTTGGATTGAGTATCCTGATTTGGAAAAACCAGTTTAAAATCATATTTTAAAATCAATTATGGAAATTTGAATATGCTTTGAAAGCTAGAGGAGATAAATAATTAGCAAAATGGAAAGTTGGACACTGTTAAGCAGAAAAGGGTGACAAAACTATGAATGATTTTTTGGTAAAAAGTACACACATATATAGAGAGGCATAGAAAAATACCTGGATGTATATGTTCTAAGGTGTTCACAGTAATGTTTTCTGGGTGGAATATGACGTTTATATTTTATGTTTGAATGTATTTTCTATTTTTTTCAATGTACATGTATTGCTCCTGTGATATTAAAAAGTTATTTTTTAATAACTCATTCTGATTACTTTGCACCACTATTACCTCTCTCACTCTAGTTAAAGCCACTATTACCTCTTGCCTGCACTCTTGCAATTCCTTCCTTACGATGGTAGTGTAACTATGTACAGTATGCAACAATGGTAATGGTAACTATTGCAATGGTTTCCTCACTTTCATTCTTAACTGACTATATAATCAGTTCTCTAGACAGTAACCAAAGTGATGCTTTAAAAAGGAATAAATCAAATTATATAAAAATTTGTTCAAAATTCTCTAATAGTTACCCATAATATTAAAAATCTTATCTGAGGCCTACTTCTCTGAAATTTATGTCCAACATTTTCCTCCTTGCTCATTCTGTTCCAGCCATTGTGGCCACCTTCGTGATCCTCAAACAAGCTAAGTTTGTTCCTATTGCAGAAGCTTTGGACCCCTCAATGACTCCCTTTGCCTGTAACTCTGTCTTTTTCCTCAGATGTTAGCCTAGTTCTTTCACTCATTCACATTTTTGCTAAAATGCCACTTCAGAAAAGGTTTCTCTGATCACTCTTTCTAAAATAGCTCTCTCATACCTTATCTGTCTTTCCCCTACTTTGTTCATTTTCTCAGCACTTCTACCTGAAATTATCTTATATATTTAGTTAGTGAGTTAATTGTGGTCTCTCTGTCTTTTCCATTAGAATGTAAGCTTCATGAAGGCAGAGACTTTGTCTACCACTAGATCTCCTGTGCCCAGAACAGTGCCTAAGTACATGGTTGTTGCTGAATAGATATTTGCTGATTGAATTACTGAGTGACAATAATGATCTGCCTAATGTCACACAGCTAATAACTCCAAACTCAGACATTCTGACTCCTTACCCTATGCTCTCAACCAGAACATGATATTGTCATAAATACTCATAGTATTTGAGAGTATGGAATGGGTATGGTTGCAGATGAGCTGTGGTAGGGGGAGGAGATAATAAATGGTGACTTCCCAAATGATGGTCTCTAAGTCCACTGGCATGTAGAAAATCAGGTCCTTTGCTGAGTGAGTGGGGTGAAGAGTCTATGGGCTACATTGTAAGTAAGTATGACATATAGATTATTGTTGTTACTATTATTTTAATTAAGAATTTAACACATATTTATTGAAAGATAAAAGCATATATAGAGAGGTTTAATTCTAATTCTTACATTGTTCTTGTGAACTTTTCTCTAGGTTGTTAGTTGTTGTCTTTGGTGGAAGATAAGGAACTGGTCCCCAGGTAGACAAAGCTCGTTTACTGGTGTCAAACTGCTGTGTGAAAAATTCCTGGAGCTTCATTCCTATTTTTATTAGGTCTGGTGTGGTTGATCTTGATATCATTACTTGGAAAATATCCCATTTCAAGTCTCCATGGACAAAAATCTCACTAGAGCATAAAGCAGAAATTTATCATATATCTTACAGAAGATATTTAAAAAGTACAAGAAAAATTCTCTTCCCCACCCAGCTTTTTCATTCATATTAACTGCATAATATAAAATCATTTTGCAGAAAAAATTAATCGCATATGTTTTCTCACTGGATAAAAATAGATTAACAGCAGTCACACAGAGTATTCAAAAGTAATGTCTTAATAAATACCTTTTATCAGTTATGCTTGAATCCAGTGTATTATACAGGTTTACTTTCCATTCGTCTTGAAGCTTAAGATCAGCATTACTGAAGATACCCATGAGGATACTTGAGCCCATGTAATCAACACGAGCTTCAGTAGAACCCATAGTAATCTGAATTTTGTGACTGGGTTGCTGATTTGGATGTTCAGAAATATGAGCTAAAATAGAAACAGTAATTACTTGTCATAGAAATGTCTATGGGCAAAACTCATCATAATAAATTTTCAAAACCCCTTTTCCTATATATTTTTTTAAGATATGCTAGATCAGTTGTAAAATTTCAACATACCAACCATCTCCAAAGCATTGACATCTATGGTCCCTCCAACTACTCCTCCTTTAGAATCTAACTGTGATCTTCCCAGACCAACAGACATGCTAATTTCTCGATCACGATTACTTCCTACTGACAGACGGCCCTGGCTCTTCAAACCACTAGTTGTCCAACTAAAAAAAAGGAAAAAAAGGTCATTAGTTAGATATATGGCTTACAATGTCATAAATTAAAACAGGAGTTAAATCAGAAGATTTAAATAAAAGGTCAAGTTTAACAATAAAACAATGCATTTCTTATAAGAAGTGTGGTAAATGTTTGAGTATTAACATTGATGATGAAGTTTTCTTCCTAGCTAGAAAGTCACTACATTTTCCTTATAATTTTTCCTCTTTTTAGAACACATATTTCATGCTGTTTTATATTATAGTATCCTTAGGATTAGGCAATTTTCAGGATGAAACAATTTATCTTTTATCTACTGTCTTTACTGTCTCAAACATTTCAGCATTAAAAAATGATTATGAATTACTTTACTACAATATAAGAAAAATTACAAATAATGATTAAATATATTTTCTTTGTATTTGAATAGCTTACGTTGTATTTCCCATTACATTACTCATATTCATTTGAACGTTTAATTGCTTCAAGTTGATAGCAAATACGACAAGTGTTTCCCATGGGGTCCCTTGTTGGCTTGCTGCTTTGTTTGATTTGTTAAAAGGAGTTGATGTTTTTGAAAGTGAATCTATAAATAGAAAAGTCAAATATGCATTCATTCACATAAATACTAAGCAGATTAGAAAGCAAAAACTACTCTTATTACTATAATTCAAAAAGTAAAAATATGATATTTTTATATTAGAACTTAATGTTTAATAGTTGTCATATTGCCTCTAAAATATTAGTTACCATTTTCTGAATGTTTAATAAGTCTTGGTAGCCTTACTTCTTGAAAGCTCATAAAATTCTGTATGGCCCCATTTTACATGATGAAATTCTGGTGTGCATAGGATATAACAGCACAGATCATTCTTCACTCTGGGATTTTCTTAATAAAGGAAAAAAATCATAATATGCTGCTGCCAAACAGAGGACTACAAGGCAGAGACCATTCTGAAATGCAAAGGCTGGCTGGAGTGCCTGTCTTCTGTGTTCTTATGGACTCACTGTGTATCCTGAATCCTGCATTTGCTCATTATATACTTTAACCTGTGACAAGAACTGTATCATACATTTTTATATATTCAAGCACAACTACAAGGACAAGGCTAAACACATGAATGAGTTCAAAAAACAGAGTAAAAGAATGACAATACAACGATGAACTTTCCTATACTGATGCATCTTTTGGGACTTTCACAACACTATACACTCTAAGTTTACTTCTGAGAGTAACTGTACTATATGGAGCACAATAATGATATGATAATTCCTCTCTTCCTATCTTTTTGAAAAAGATAATAAGATTATTATCTTATATTAAAGACTAATAATCTGTGTCTTCTGCTGGAAATACTTTGAACTGTTTGTTATTTGCTGTTTCCCCTCAATCTATCATAGAAACCTCAAGAGTGTATCTCCCTACAATTGGGGCAGAAATCTGGGAGTAACTAAGATTTCTATCTGGGGAACATTGGAGAAAACATTGTTACCTCTTCGAGGAACTGAAGAATCAGACACACTCCTTGATCTTACAGAAGCTGGGGATTTTAGGCTCTGTGCTGCTGTCCCTGGTGACATGGTGCTGTTTGTCATATGCTCATTGAATACATTAGGTGACTGAGGCATGTGGGTAAAGGAGGCTGATTGACTTGGCTGCTCCCAGGTCTTGCAGTAAGCTTTTCTTGATGATTCTGGGGAAAGGTGCTGGCTTACTCCTTCAATGGAATCAGGTGTCCCTGGACCAGATGCTAGTAGAAAAGTAGGGGGGAAAAAAAAGCCCAAAGTAACAGGATAAACATAATTTCACTCATTCAACATTTCTAATCACATTACATATTCCTTCCAGTTCTCTATTTGGCAACTGTATAGCAATTTATAGTTTGCAAAGAACATTCCAGTATTTTATTTAATTCTCACAGAAACTCCATGAGAAGGGCAAAACAGGTACTATGGTCCTATTTTACAAGTGAGGTAATATACTCAGACCTAGGACTTTTAATATTTCCCACTGTATCTTGCTGACTCTACTTTTCACTTCCACAACTCTCTCTTGAGCAAATACTACAAAAATATCTAAGTCCAAGAGACAAAGGCAAGCTAGATGGTAACATGCCCCAAACGTCTTCTGTTTTCCATGATTAACTAACCATGATTAACTTGGATGGTTAAATGTATTTCTGTATTTCTAGACTTTACAAAGATTACAGAGTAATCATTATAGATTAAAATGTCAACTAGAATGTAATCTCCAAGAGGGCAAGACTTTTGTCTATTTGGTTCTGTGATACATCCCCATTGCTTGGCATACTAGAGAGGCTCAATAGACATGTCTTAAATGAGTGAATGAATCACAGGGTACAAGTTACCAAGTAAGACAAAATTTTTATTATCAATCATGGATCTTGCTACTATTGCAACCAAAATTAAAAGCAACCCAATTATAATTACACAACAAGCTTACTTGGCAAATTTATAGTTTGGTCTCCAAGGAATAGACGCCTTGCAATACTTCTCCTGTACCAGGCTCTTGGAAATGCCAGAATTTCACTGAGTCGGCGCATATCATATTTAAAGGAGGCAGACCCTATATCACACACAGCTGATACATAAAAAAAATTTGTTAGAAATTAGATTTCCAAAACTATTAATATTTTTACATGGTAGGTATAAGACATAATATTATACAACTGAATTACACTTATGTTACAATTCATGAAATATCAAAATAAGTTACATATTATGATTAGCAAGTGATTAAATGTTTTTCCACAAATTACAGAAATAGCACATTCTAACACTAGTAGTTCTAATTCCTTTTTTTTGAGGTGATGGCAAGTTGGAATTGTATTATCACTTTGTCATAAAATTCTCAGGTTCTAAAGATCACTCTTATAGTCTGCTTTCAATTTTAATACAAGTCTCTTCTCAAATATGGGAAATGAATCATCAGGATGAGCTGGGATATAGACATCCTCAAAAGGAGTTGCAAACCAGATAGCTTTGTGGTAGGAACTACTATTCTCCTTTTAGACAAAGAGCAGTGACTTTTAAACAGAAAGCATTGATAGCCTTTTCCTGGGGTTCTGCTCTAAGCTTCTTCTATTCCTGCTTTATGCGTTCTTCTACTCTTCTACCATAGCTTCTGGAGGATTTACATGCCAGTGACTCTCAAAGATAAAGTTTCCGTTTCAGCCTGAGCCCACACCGACACAGCCCATCAGCCAATTGCCTACCACACTCGTCCACCAACATGTCCTGTAGGCCCTTCTTAATTTCCTAAGTTAATGGCTTCACTGCCCCTTCAATCATTTAAGTGAAAAGTCTGAGGCATCCTTGTCTCCTGTACTGCCCCTTATATTTGTCCTCAAACTTGTGGATTCTCTTATGTCTCTCTTGAAGCCATTCCTTTTTCTCCTTTTCTCCTGTCATAATTCAGGCCTTTATCCACTATTGCTTAGTCTATTTCAGCAGCCTCCTAAGAATCTTTTCTCTCCCATCTTTCATGCTACCATCAACTATCTTTCCAAAACATCAATCTGAAGCAGCATCCCATTCTTAAAAACCTCTAGCAGCTTCTCACTGTCCAAAGGACCAGAAACTGATGCTTTAGCCTGGCATATGAATCCTTCCACAATCTGGTCCTGATCTATTTTATCAGCTTTATCTCTAGTCATTCTTCTCTCCCTCTGGCCCTGCCTACTTTGTAAAACCAGCTAAACGTTATACCCTATGCTTCAGCCATAGTGAATCAAAGTATAATCCAAAAGCATACTTTTTGATGCTTCTGTGCCATTAAATACCATAGTTGTTACCTCTAAGAATATTCCTACTCAATTTTCAAGATCTGGCCCAAATATAATTTTCTTTGTGAAGCTTTCTCTTATCTCCTATATGAGGAAGAATGTATTGTTTCCTACTCTTTATGTTAACTTCCATTATAACATTTATCATCCTGCACTGTCACTTATTTGTCTACAGAGACTTTGCCTTATTCATGCTGCTCCCCTCAATCACCTAGCAGAGTGCCTGGCAAAAGTTCACTGTAAAACACAGGCTTAATATATGTTTGCTGAATGAATATCAGGTTAAGTGAACATTCCATATTCATTTGGTTAATAATTATACACGTTTTCACTCAGTACTCTGAATTCTTCAAAATATTCCATATACATTTAATTTTAAGTACTCAGATCACAATGTAAACAAAATGAGTAAGTGATTTGCCCATAGTTATATAGCTAGTTATAAAGCTAGGAGTACACATGTATGCATGCAACTCAAGATATTCTGACACCAAGTAAAAATTTTTTAACGTCACTCATCCCAGTTTAGTGTTTTAAACATTTACAATTAGAAAATAAAACAAACAAAAAGTCAGAAGTTTTACTGATTCATAGTAGAGAAGAGTGAAGAAAAGAGGCAATTTTCAGTGATTTAATTAGGTATATTTTGTCCCTTGGGTGATATGTCTATTTATCTAGAAATTATATGTCTAATATTTATTACTTGAACTGAGATAGTACAGCAGGCTAGACTGTCATTTCTCTCCTTTAAATCAGCTTATCACCAAAAGCTTAATATTGGGTGTACTTAATATTTAAAAACTGTTAAAATAGAGGCTATTATTTAATTCTGGAAAACAATATTTTAATTAAAAACTATAAAATTGAATACCAGATATATTTATTAACGTAGTGTCCATTTTGCTTGCAGACTTGTTTATAGACTGACTTTCAAAAAATGAGGCACCTCCTGAACGCCTCATTCTAGACAAACTCACTTTTACAAATTCAAGGTTTATACTGAGTGAGTCTTTTCGACCAGTGACTGAAGTGGGCTCCTCATCCACATTCCCTAAAAACAACAATAAAAACACATCTATATACACATATACATACAAGAGGTTTTCAAACAGTTCATGATAAGATTTGTTTTATCTTTTGATTTCATTTTTCCATGAATAACTATCTAGTTAGATGAAAATTATCCAATACCCTATAACATTCCATCAATTAAAATTAAAAAGTGAGGTAAAAATTTAAGCACAATGATCTAATGAGCATTAATATTCCTAATGATAGTTTCATAGGGTCAAGCCATAAACATAATTGGTGATTTTTATAACCCTCCTCCATCAGCAAAAACTAGAATTGGTGTGGAGTATGTGTCTTTATTATTTGTCTAAATACAAGTCAAAAGATATTCACTAGTGGCAAGATCTTATACATTTTTAGTGATTCATTTGCACTTTAAATTTCACTTTGCCACTGAAATTTAATTTCACTAAATAACTGACTTAAATAATACTCTCATTTTAAAATAACAAATGTGACCCACGTACTTTAAACTTTTAGTTTTTATAGAATATAATTTCTTATACAAATAGACAGTGATTTGGTAAGACATTTAAACATTTGGTAAGACATTTAAGTAACATAAGTAATCTCTGATATCCAAAGCGATTACTGTGCTATGTATGTCACTTAGAAGATATTCTGAATTTTTAAATTCTTGTATAATTAATCTGGATTACTTATTTCATATTTCTACTTATGTAGGGACAAGATAGATATTATCAAAAAGGAAAAATTTAAAAAGCTTCTGATTTTGGTTTATATCCATTATTAAAGGTATTATGATTTATGAAAAGAATACCTGAAAATATACTTAATAAGCTTGAAAAGTCTTGAAAAGGTGCTGTAAATGTGAAAAAGACACAAACATGCGAAGTATACCTAATCCTCCTGATCCAGGTGTGAGGCCAGAAACAGCAGTTTTTTGTTTTCCTGCTCCATATGGATGAAATACATAAAGGGAAAAGTCAGACATGCATGCAGTGAAGCTCAAGCCAGATGAACTGCTGCTGGAACTGGTCAGATCTGACTGACTACTACTATGTCGACTTCTGCCAAGAGGGCTGCCTAATCCTGATGAACCTACAGTAAACACAAGAAATTCAAAATATTTATAAGCTACAAGAAAACAAAAAAAGCCAATCATTAATATGTTTTCAAGAATGAAACCTAACTTCCAAATAAAATGAAACACTCATAGATTTAAATCCTTAAAATCTAAATGAGGATATGGATGTATTACCAATTAATTTACACTGTAAACCAGGGTGAATACTCTGTTCATCTTTAAAACAATTATTTATACATATGCCTGACCTACTACATGGTTTCCTATTTCTCTTTTCCTTTGGTCCACTGGAAGCAGGCAGTGGAAGAGGTCTAAAATAGCTGGCATTTAAGCAAAGGGGGAGAATAAACTGTAGAAAATCTCTATCATATAGCTGGAGTCCACATTTCAGTTGGTAATAGCAGAAATACAGCAAGGTATGTGAATGCAGAAAGTAAAAGATCTCTTTCTCTTAGACAGTCAAAGATCTCTTTGTCCTTACTGGTAACCTTTACCAGGGATGGACAGGCTAATTCCAAATATGCTATAAATATAAAAAAATGAGACCATCTGAGCAGAGCACTATATGATTTTGCTGATGATTCCAAATCTCCAGACCAGACCTCCTTTGGATTCATATGTTACAACTGCCTAGTTGACATGCTACTAGAGTGGGTCACAGGCATTTAAAGATTACATGTCTTAACTCTTGACCTTTTCCTCAACTCTGCTTTTCTTCCAGTGTTCCCCAACACACCAGTAAGTAACTCTTCCATGCAAAGAGCTCAACCAGAAGCCTGGGAGTTGTCATCCTTCCCACTCCTGACTTTGTAATTTATAACTAACCACATCATTTCTGTAACTCAAATTTATAAAGTCCGTCCATTTCCCTTCATCTCACCGCTGCTATTTTAGCTTAGGCAATCGTGACACTGCCTGGGCTACTAAAGTGGCCAACTGCTCTCTCTGCTTCCTTCCACTCCAATAAACCATCATACAACTGCTGCACTGACGTTCTAAAATGTAAATCCAAATCACATTCACTTCTCTGTTTAACCTCTCATTGGCTTCCCCACATGAGCTGGCTCTTTCCTCTCTCTCTAAATCTTTCTTATGCCAGCCTCCACTTATACTAGTTTCTTTTTTCTTCTTTCTTTTCAAAGTTGCCAAACTCCTTCCTGCTTCATGGATTTTGTATTCTTTACCTAGAGTGTTCATTCTCCCAACTCTCTGCTTGGCTAACTCATACCCACTTCATATTTTATCTTAAAATATGCTTGTTTGGTTGGCTATTACTAAATTCAAATTCCACATTAGCAGAAACCATGTCCATTAGCTAAGTTTGCTACTGTATATCATGTAGATATTTCAGTAAAGATCCTTTGAAAGAATGGACTTGTCACAGCCTATACTTCCTATACATTTATTCTCATCATCATTCCTTCATGAATGTTTTATGATGATAAAATGAGGGGTGGTTTCATTTTTATTATTTTCTAAAGAATCATAAAATGTAGGCATAATAGAGTTGCTCATTTCATAGTCCTTTCACTATATACTCCTAGCATATTTTGTAGTCCTTTCACTACTTATCCTTAGCATAGTGCATATATACTGCTATAATACTTTAAGTGCTAATAATATATGTGACATTTTGTCATTAAGAAAAAGGTGAACATTCCAAAAGAGAAATGGACATGAGCATATATTTACCTCCCCCTAAATAGCCAATAAAGTAATCCAATACAAATTAAGATAATACAATCCCATTTTAAGTCCATCACATTGACAATGATTAAAAATAAATTTAAAGGAGTGGTAGGACGAGTACAGTGAACTTGGTATCCATACTACTTTGGTGAGGGTGTAGAGATCTTAATAGTCTTTCTTACTAGAGAGTAAAAGGTATCAAATACTTTTAAAATGTTTATATTCTCTGACCCAGAAATTCCACTTAAGAGTTTATCCTTATATTTTTCTTTATTAATATTTACATACAAAGATGTTCATTTCAATATTATTTTTTAAAAAACCTAGGCAATCTCAAATACGTGATCAAAATGATAGAATAACATGCAGCCATTATATTTTAGAAACAAATATTTAATAATTTGGGAAAATACCAATGATATTTTAAATTTTAAAAAGTTACAGAGCAGAAGAGACAATATTTCAATTTTGCCTGGGAGAAAGATTGTATCTCTACAAAAATGCTGGAGTAAGAACTGATAACTCTGTTTATTTATGATAAAGGGATATTATTTCTTATTTTCATTTCCTTTTTAGTACTTTTCTGTTTTCTACATTTACTTTAATGAATAATGAATTAATTTTATAATCAGAAAATGTTTTCAAAAACCAACACTACCACTCTAATATTTTGTTGTCTACAATACAACTCCAACAGCAATATTTTGGACTTAAGTGCTAGGTGATGGGCAACCACATTAGCAAAAACTTTATTTCTAACAATTGTTTTCCTATTTTGTTGTGAAAATTTTCAAAGACTCACACAGCAAAACAAATGTTTGGCTTTAACCATTTTCCTAGTATTATAAGTAAATATTAGAGATGTAAATAATTTCCATTTTTCCAAGAAAAAATTCTTGACTGGGGTTGTTTCTCAGAAGGTATCATGTAAGAATTTTTCCTATTAATATTTGATGAGATTATTAGGGTAAAGTTTTGAATCTGAGATGACTACTTGAAAAACAGGACCCTAAACCTAAGCTGTATTTCCTTCCAAATCAGAAAACTATTTCCGTCTCCCTCCACTGCTTTCATGCCTCTCTCGAAAATGGAGTTTAGGGTTTTACTTTTTCATTCTAATGCAGGCTTTGTCAACCTTGGCACTACTGACATCTTAATCCAGATAATTCTTTGTGAGGGGAAGGATTGTCATGTATACTGTAGGATGTTTAGCAGTATCCCTGGCCTTTCTAATAGCTGCCAGTTGTACCTCCTCAGTTGTGACAATCAAAACTGGCTTCCAATACTACCGAACATCCCCTCAGACAAAATAGCCCCTGGTTAAGAACTGTTCTAATAATATTACAGTCTCTCATGAATTTTGATTCAATCTAGTCTCTTTCTTTAAAAGTGTTCAATAAAATATTTATTATTTGCATTTGTGATCTCTGTCTGATTGCCCGCCCCTCGCTCAGCCAGTGAGCGGGAACCAGTCTGTATGTGGGATCCGAACCCTCAGCGGGAGCGCCGCCGCGCTCCCAAGCGGCGCACTGTAGCAGTGCACCACCAGGCTGGCCCAACATTGATTACTCTTAAATGTAAAATATAGCTTAGCAAAAAATAAAACATTCAAGAGTACTTGAATATGTGGATTATTTTACAACAGTTACATCATAGTGCTTGTGGTTTATACATTCACACAAAAACCAAAATGCTGTCTAACAGCCATTCCGATAAAAAAAAAAAAACTAAAAGTTACCCAAGTTCTAAAACATTCAAGAGTACTTGAATATGTGGATTATTTTACAACAGTTACATCATAGTGCTTGCGGTTTATACATTCACACAAAAACCAAAATGCTGTCTAACAGCCATTCCGATAAAAAAAAAAAAACTAAAAGTTACCCAAGTTGTAGTAACACACAAAATATACACAAAAGTTTGGTCTACTATAGATTTTTTTCTATAAATACTCTAATTCTCAAATATTCTCCTTTTCTAAATTTATTTTAAAATATGTATTAATTACTATTAAAGTATTTATTTAAAAATAGTATTTCACATTATACCAGAGGAATAAAAGAATGTTTCTATACCTGGTATTCCAGTTTTGCTCGCAGTGGTCTTTGTTCCACTCTGAGTAGCATTACCTCCAGGGGATAGAGTCTCTGCAGGATATGTAGTCCCTAAAGTCTCCAGTTCTCCTCGGTTTGAAGAAAACACCAAGTCCAGAGATGGTAGCTTTAGCATGCATTCTACTCTTGATACTGGTAAACAACTAAACTTGATCTGTGAGGGCTAAAGAAGAGAAGAAAGCCAAAAAAAGGTTTCCAGGAACAGGATGGTTAAAAAATTATATATTTAATTCTAAAAGTTACATTTAGTTTCCATTTCAGTTCACATATACCAAATTTGTTTACTCATTTGACACTTGAAAGGATTTTGTGTTTAATATCCTAGCTGTATCAAACAGAAGCATGATACATGAACCAAAATGGTATCATTTTTAAAAAGCTAAATATTTGAAGTCATCTCTATGCAATAATATTTAGACCTTTAGATACTTCAGAAGCTTAAAAATATTTATGCTTATACTATACTTTTTCATAATCAAGTTTTTAAAAGGAAGTAATTTCACTTACGTTAAAATTAAAGAACATTGTTGTATTAATAACAAAGGTTTTACAAGCTCTCAAACCCTTATCCATTATGTTTTCTTCAGACTGTCAAAAAAGCTTGTACAAAACTCCAGAATATCAGATTGAAGCTCTTTTGACCAAATTGCTATTATAAAATATAGTTGGAACAGATGACCATTAGTGTTTCTGTCATTCTTGAGGCTGATTATAAGATTTTAATTGAAGGTAAACTAAACCGTGAAGTTTGGATAAAAGTAGTTTTCAAATCCTCTTTAATAAATATGTTCAATCAGATGCTAATATATATTCCAAAAGGCCTATTGACAGGACTGAATTTTAGAATAAAATATTATATAAAAACTACATAACTCTTAGCAAAAATTCTAACAAGGCACTAGTGTGACTTTATATTTCCCCAGAAAGAATTGTAATGGCAAGAAATAAAAAAGGGACCATAATCAAAAAGGCATAAGATGCTTAAAAAGTGTTTTAACTTATATATTTTAATTTTTGACACAAAAGTATTAGATCTAAATTTTGTAAGTCCAAATATCTGTGAAACTTCTCAGCAGAAAAGTGAATATACATACAAAATCTTACGTATACTTCCCAGAGGTTCAGGCAACCTCCAGGTCATCATAGACATACTAAAGGTTCATGAACTGAGGTTAAGAAAACTTTAAAGGGAAATAATGTTAAAATGTTCAGATTAACTTAAGAAAAATATTTTTTCTTTAAACAAAAAGGAATAAATGAAGTATATCACCTGAACTCGAACATAAACCACAACATCTACAGGGAAGGAAGAGTAAGCAGATGTTGAAGATGACACTAATGATGTTGTTGATTCTTCCATAGGATCTGGTATTTCAAAATGTCCCAGATCTTCATCTTGTGAACTGACAGCTGTTAAAATATTTAGTTTTAAGTTTTATTAGGTAAAAGGCAAACTATTTATTAAAAGATCATTATGTCTTATACTAGTACTAAGATCAGAGATATGACCACCAGAAACATTTGCTCTGTAGTCCATAGTTCTACACATCGTTACCTATTCGAACCTTCTGCTCATTCCCCCAAACTCAAATTCACCTGCAGATATACCAAACACTGTATAAAGAAAATAGTGATTACGTCCTTTCCCTCAGGAGATTCCAGTCCAAGAGACACAGTAATGTAGGACCTAAGGATGTTAATTTTGTCATTAACTCGTTGTGGCCACGGAAATAACTTCACCAGGACTTAATTTCTTCATGTGCAAATGAAGATTAGATGACCTCTGAAGTTCTTTTTCAATTTTATAATTATTTTATATTTATGACTGAATATATACTATAATAATATACGATAGCATTAGGAAATCCTTCTAAGTAATAGGATCCCAAAATATATGTGATGGGGAAGTAAGTATATAAGGAGGATGCTTACTTGTGTAATTCCTTTCAATTGGTGTGATTGGGATAGTTTCCAGAGCCTTTTCCAGAAAGTCTAATAAACAGGGACTAATAACCATTTCTTCTGGCAATGACTGCAGTGCCACCCAGGCATATAACTTGGCTGTTTTTACTCCTCCACTTCCTTTTCCTTTGGCTAGAACATTTATAAACGTGAGGAAAATTTAATGGAATTTAATAAAAAGTTCCAATAAAACATAAGAAAACTGTTAGAAATTAGGATTATATGACAGAATCAGGTGAAGCACCTTAAACATTAAGAATATACAAGAAAACAATAAAAATAGGTTGATATAAATGATACATTAATCTTAGCATACAAAGGTGATTAATACAAAGATGTATATAACAGTAGTAATTCCTACTTGCTCTAGGTCACAAATTTTGGTCCAAGTTTTTTTTTTCCTTTTTGTCTTTTTTCGTGTCCGGCAACGGATTGCAACCCTCAGTGTCGCGCCTGTACCGGACCGGGACCGGCAACGGGATCGCAACCCTCGGCGCTGCGCCCGCACCTCGCTCAGCCAGTGAGCGGGAACCAGTCTGTATGTGGGATCCGAACCCTCGGCGGGAGCGCTGCCGTGCTCCCAAGCAGCGCACTGTAGCAGTGTGCCACCGGGCCGGCTCCTAAGTTTTTAATTTTATACTTCACTAAGTGTCTCGTTAGTATTAGTCATTTTGTCAATTTAAGAAGATATAAAGAATTCTGACTAACAGTATTTAGTGGCAAGTGAGGAAAAACATTGTTTTCAGGCTTTCTTATGCTGTGCTTGTACAAATTTATAATGCTTCCCTACATGGGATGCCATCTCTTTCTTTCTACCTAACTAAAATTACTTTGGCAGAATGAGAAGACTTACCTAACAATGACTTAGCTAACTTTGGCTTAGGTTTCCTACTGTAACATTTATTGCTTGTGTAAATATAGGAAAGATGTTCAACTTCTATGAGCCTTAACTTTCCTCATTTATAAAATGTTATAATAATATCTGCCATGTACTAAATGGACATTCATAGATGTGTCTTGTCAATTGAAAAGTGATATAAAAATTAGGCATTATCATCATGATTACTATTTTTTAAAATTTATATGTCAAGTTCTGTCTCCCAAATGAAACTTTTTTCAAATAATGCTTGTCCAGCCTAATATTTCCTTTTTTGGAACTTCTACCATTTGTGTAAGGTATAATTCATGTGCTGTGGTAGGCAGATTCCAAGATGGATTCCAGTGATCCTTGCCTCCAGGTATTCATGACTTTGTCTAGTTCCCTCCCACACTGACCTGTATGATCAATAGGATATTGTGTAAGTGATGGTATGTGACTTTTGAGACTAAGCCATAAAAGATATTGCAACTTCAGCCATATTCTCTTTTGAATCACTCCTTCTGAGGAAAGTCAACTGCCACACCATGAGGACACTCAAGTAGTGCAGGAGAGAGGCCCACATGGGGAGTAAATGAGGCACCAGTTAGCCAGCCATGTGACTGGCACATGATGTAAGCAGTTTACAGCCCCGATCAAGAATTCAGAAAACTGCATCCCTAGCCAACATCTTGACTACAGCCTTGTAAGAGAAGATGAGTTAGATCCACTGAGCCAATCTGCTCCTGAATTTCTGATCAACAGAAACTGTTTGAAGTTATAAGCCATTAAGTTTTAAGTAATATGTTTAGCAGCAGTAGGTAATTCATAAATGTGGTTAAGCCCAATGTACTCTGTCTTAAATGTATGTTTGATATTTCCATCTGATCATAAGCTTCCAAATTTAAACTATATAAAACTACCCTTTTCTAAATATATTAAAAATATATTCTAATTAATATCAATTTGAAAAATAGCCAAAAGTAGTTGGCCCACACTTCCATTAAATGAATTTTGTATAGTTATTATTGACAAGTCTATGTCCTTTTTTCTTAAACGTGAATTTGCAAGTCTCAACAGAGCAAATAGGTGATAACTAAAAATTAAGAAAAAAAAAAGACAAAAAATAGAGTATATTCTCCTTAAATACCTGAGGGAATAGGTGGGGTTTGGGGAGGAAGTAAGGTGTTAGTCTTGCTCTGGACAGTGCAAGGTAAAGGAGGAGAAGGAGGAGATGTTGCACTATCTTTCATACCATACAGCTTGGACTCTTTGGAGAATGTCCTTGGCAAGGAAGATCCTCTGGAGGCATTAGGTGATTCAGTTTTTAGCGTCTTGGAATTATAATGCAACTGTATTGAAACAAATAAACTTTTTAAATTAAAATTATGCAGATGAGAAAAACCAAGAAATGTAGAAAAATGTGGTAGAAAGAAGAACACTGGTCTAACAGTGAAAAGACTGAGTTCTAACTTTTACAAGTTTGCTTTATGATCCTTGCAAGATTTTTTGCTTTTTGCATTTTGATACTAAAAAGGTCATTCCAGAAAACCTTTCCAGGTCAATAGTCTAAGATTAACTCTAGAGTCCAAAAAAATAGTTGTTTAATGAAGTTATACTAGGCAGTTTAGCCAGTATTTATGAATATCAATGTATAAAAAAGAAAACTAACTTCTTTCTGCCAAATTTTCATAGAAAAACTGTATAAATGAAGTGGCAACCTGAAATTTAGATGTTCTTATGTTTAGAATATGGCTGTATCAGACAAAAAAGTAAGAAATTCTCATTTTTAATACAATAAGCAAAAGAAGAACATATATGATAAGAAATAAAAATTGCTATTAGTAATACAATCCCTTATCCTACACAATTATGTTTTTACCTTTACATCAACTCCAGGAATGTAAAATACTGTTGTTTCTAAGTCACTAGGCTTTGTCTGTAGAGATGATGGCACTTTCTTGCCAGTCATTAAATGAGTGGTAGAAGCATAATTAGTTTGAAACTTCTTCTTTTTTGAAGGAGAATCTTGATCTAAGCTCCTGGAACTTCGATCATAACTCCTACAAATAGAAAAATGTTTTATATATTTTTAAAAAGATATATTTATTTCCTCTTCTTTTGTTTAAAAACTTTTATTTATACAGAAAATCTTTTATTATGGAAAATTTCAAACATATATAAAGTAAACAGAATGATATAATGATCCCCCATGTACTCATTACCCAACTTCAACAACTATCAGCACTCTGCCGTTCTTGTCTTATGTACATCTCCACCCACTCAATTATAACTATAATAGTCCCCTTTTCCATGTTTTCATTTTCCATAGTTTCAACAACCTGTGGTGAACCATGATCTGAAAATATTAAAAGGGAAATTCCAGAGAAAAACAGTTCATAAGTTCTAAATTGCACATGCCATCCTGCTCCATCCCACCTGCGACATGAGTTATCCCTTTATCCAGCAAATCCCACTCTTTTGTCACTTAGTACCCATGTTGGTTATCAGACTGTAGCACTATCACAGTGCTTATGTTCAAGTAACTTTTATTCTATTTAATAAGGGCCCCAAAGAACAAGACTAGTGATGCTGGCAATTCGCTATGTCAAAGAGAAGCTGTGAAGTGCTTCCTTTAAGTGAAAAGGTGAACGTTCTCAACTTAATAGGGAAAGAAAAAAATTGTATGCTGAGACTGCTGAGATCTACAGTAAAAACAAATCTTCTATCCATGAAATTGCAAAGAAGGAAAAAAGAAATTCATGCATAGTATATATAAGGTTTAGTACTATGCATGGTTTCAGGAATTCACTAGGGGTTCTTGGAACGTATCCCCTGAAGATAACGGGGGACTACTGTATTGTGTTCTTTTTACAGTTCATCTTTAGATTAGGAAAGAAAAGCAAAATCAAAATTCAAAGAAAAGATAATCTAATGTTAAGGCTGTTTATATCATCATTTACTTAATGATAGAAACAAATGGTAAAGCTTCAGTTATATCCTGAACATTTCAGTCTATTGGTGCCTCCCGCAACTGTTTCCCAATCTTTCTTATTTTCTTATGAATTCATAAAAATTCTCAATAACCAAGATACCTCTGAGTACTGTACTGTTCTTTAAAACAGAAATGCACATAATACAAGGACAGAGACTGAGAAATTCACACCTGTCAAAAGGAGAAACTCCGAAGATATAACTATTTTAATTAATAAATTTGCAGACTCTAAATCAGACATCCATTTCTAGTTGCCAGAAAATACTATGCATTTGTTTAAAGAAATTGTATGCTATACAAATAATCACTTGACCATTACAACTATGATTAGATCTACTCTTTAAGTTTGCATTTTGGGGGGAAATGTTTGCTATAATTCAGTAATATCGTATTAGTCTGTTTTTATTGCTTATAACAAAATACCTGAAAACTGGATAATTTATAAAGAAACAGAATTTATTTCTGACAGTTTTGGAGGCTGGAAAGTCCATAGTCCAGGGGGTGCATCTGGTGAGGGCCTTGTTCTTGGGTAGTGACTCTCTACAGTGACACAGGGTGTCACTGAATAGCTTAAGCAAGAGAGAGCTAACTTGCTCACTCCCTCTCCTAATAAAGCCATCAGAACCACGCCCATTACTCTGTGTCAGTCCTCACAATCTACGCACCTCTTAATGGACCCACCTTTCAATTACCATAATAGATTTTCCACCCTTTTAACATTGTCACAGTGGGAATTAAGTTTCTAATACGTGAAACTTTGGGGGACAGATTCAACCCATAGCATATGTAAATGGTATTTCTAACAGACAAAGTTACATGTCCCCTTTTTCAACCAATTTCTTACCTTCTCAAACTTATATCATCATGTTCTTGTAGAAGGGTGGTTGGGTGGAGTACACATTTTCCACTATCAATTTCAACCCGTATATCAAGTTCAAAGTCAATATTTCTTTCTGTAGCTGTGCCACTAAGACTTCGGTTTACCGGTGTTGTCGGCCAGCGTTCTGTAAATAGCTGATGAACAGCAGCAAAGCCTGTTGCTTTTTTACGAGATGTATGTCTACATAAAGAACAACTGATCATTACGTTGTAATAAAATGGGAAGTCTTTTTAACAATTTTCCAACATGTAATGTGAACAATAGTTTATAAATTTTATAAATTCACACAAGCTACTCAACGAGCTCATACTAATTGAAGTTTTTTCTAAGCTTAATGGAGTGACATTTTATTCAACAACTACATGCTCAGTAACTATTATATGCAAGGCAATGTACCAGGTAAGGATACAGGCATAATCGTTACTAAGAAGTTTGAATATCAGTTATGAACTATATTCTATATGTACAAGGCGATTTCATTTTCCTAAATTATAAAATTTAAATGCTACTTTCCAGATTTTATAAAAAGCCAGAAGAACAAAGAAAGATAAAAAAATAATGCCATATGATTTTCAACACATGGTGCTAGGAAAACCGGATATCTATGTGCAAAAGAATGAAATTGGACCCTTATGTTATACCATACAAAAAAACAAACTCAAAATGGATTAAAGACTTAAATGTAAGATCTGAACTATAAAACTCCTAGAAGAAAACATAGGAAAAAAGCTTCATGACATTTTTCTTGGCAATGATCTCATGTATATGACACCAAAGGCACAGGCAACAAAAGCAAAAATAGATATGGGACTACATCAATCTAGAAGAGTTTCTGCAGAGCAAAGGAAACAATCAATAGAGTGAAAGGCAACCCATGGAAAAAGAAAATATCTGTAAGCCATGTATCTGACAAGGAGTTACTTTACAAAGTATATGAGGAACATGTACAACTAAATAGCAAAACAAACAAACAAACAAACAAAAACTATTAACCTATTAAAAAATTAGCTAAGGACTTAAATATACATTTCTCCAAAGACATAATTACTACAAAGAAAAGATAAATGTTTAGGTGATGGATATGCTACCTACCCTAAGTGAATCATTGTACAATATATGTGTGTACTGAAACAATACACTGTATCCCACAAACATGTACCATTAAAAATAAATTTGAGGGCCGGCCCGGTGGCGCACTCGGTAGTGTGGCGGCGCTCCCGCCGAGGGTTTGGATCCCATATAGAGACCGGTCTGCTCACTGGTTGAGCGTGGTGTGGGTGCGACACTGAGGGTTGCAATCCCGTTACCGGTCATGAAAAAAGACAAAAAGGAAAAAAAAAAAATTTGAAAAAGAAATAGCCAACAACTATATGAAAATGTGGTCAATATTACTAATCATCAGGGAAATGCAAATCAAAACCACAATGAGATATCACCTCATACTTGTTAGGATGACTATTATGAAACAAAAAAACAAAACAAAACAAAAAACTCAAAAGACAACAAGTGCGGCAAGGATGTGGAGAAACTGGGACCCTGTACACTCTTGGTAGGAATAAAAAATGGTGTAGCAGCTAGGGAAAACAGTATGGAGGTTCCTCGAATTAAAGTTTAAAAAGTCAAAAAAAAAAAAAAAAATAGAAGAAAGAAGACCTGCATAACAACTTTTCTTAGAAAGTTATTTGAGGATGTTCTCCCAAAAAATGAGGGAATAAACCAAAATATGCTTATATATGGGATTCAAGGGTTAGTGGCTGCCATCTAGAAAAAGGAGGAAAGAATCCCTACAGCTCAGAATGGAGAAGATTGAAGATGAGGACAATTTCTTGTAGACCAACTTTCAATTATTACTCTTGTGCTCAGCCACTTTCTCATTATTATCATTACCAGAAACTCTTACTATTATTGTCACAATCTAACTTGAGGGTGGTTTAAGTAGATCAGTTTACCCAAAGGGCCTTAAAGCTCCTCTTGAGGGCATATTCTGAGCAAGCCTTCATGTATGTCTTTTATTCATTAATACCATCTCATCTTATTTATTTCTTACAAGAATTTTGACATCTTTCATCCATCGCTAACCACGTCTCTTTACTGCTTTTCTTAACTATACTTCACTCTTATGTGTCTCCCTGCAATTTGTTACTTTTTAATACTGGGAGGAATACAACCCTCTCCTTTATTTTAATGCATAACCACACCTTTATTTCCATTTCCTTGACAGAGATTATCTTGGATAAATAATTAAAGTTAAGCGATTTGAATAAATCCATTTAAATTTAAAAGAAAAATAATACCACACAGAACCAAATTATATTGTGAACCATGGATATGTCTCTTAGTCTTATTCAAGCTAGGCACATTAAGAGGTTTTTTTTTTTTTTGTAAAAATGAAGTTATATATAACGCTTTACGCTCAGTACTAGATTCTGAAATACTACCTAAGGATCTTAAAACAAAAAGTTACTCACGAGGGTTTCCTGTAAATATAAAACCTTTCCCTCTCATGGTCTTCATCCTTTTCATCCTTCTCGGAATCTTCACTGGTGGAAGACAAACTATCATCTCGTCGGCTCTCTTCAGGTTGGAAAGGAATGCCTGGTGAAAAGCCTCCTGGAGTTTTGGGAGAACTGAACACGGAACATGATCCTTCACTATTTGACGAGTAATGGGATGGACCTTCAATAGTCACTGACAAAAGGTCTAGTTCTGTCTCCTCTGGAAACTAATTGTAAAAAGAGAAAACATGAATCAGATTCATATTTCAAGTCTCTTCTCAACTAAAAAAAGATAAAGAAAAAATACATAAGTTTAAACATTTGAAAATTCTTTTCGAGTTTAATTTCCTTACTCTGAACTGAAGGAAAAGTCAGTTTTATGAACATTTAAAATGGCACACCAACGAGGGAAATAGGCCAAACTAGAAAGTCACACTACTGATACACTAAAGATCAGAGTGTAATTTTATATAAACATATATCATAACAATTACTACACATTGTAATTCTTTAAAGCAGAAGATAAACGTGAAAACAAAAGAAACGTGATCAACAATAAATCAGAATGGCAAGAGCAATTAGTGATGGAAGAACATGCAGTGTCAGTTGAGATGTTATCTCATCATACTTGTAAAATGCTTTTTGTGGATACATCTTTAAAAAATGAGCCCCTCACTGGTTGAAGAAAGATGTGTAAATAGTTGAGTGATAAAACATATATTAATCAATCAAACTTAAGATTGTAATTTTTTTTGTCGTATTTTAAGGTAAATAGTTTGTATAAACACGATGTCATTAACTCAGGATTTCACCAGGAGGCCACTATGTTTGAGTAGGTCAAAAAAACAATAAAACTTCCTATGACCTAATTTTGATTCTCAGTTTCACAAAATTGCTTGCATATCATTTGAGAATGATAAGCCTTTGTAAAGTGTAATGTA